ACTCTACCAACGTATCCTCATTGTCAGGCAAACAGTGGGTACTGGGGACCTACTCTACCAACGTATCCTCATTATCAGGCAAACAGTGGGTACTGGGGACCTACTCTACCAACGTATCCTCATTATCAGGCAAACAGTGGGTACTGGGGACCTACTCTACCAACGTATCCTCATTATCAGGCAAACAAACAGTGGGTACTGGGGACCTACTCTACCCAAGATTTGTCATCGTCAGACAAACATTGGCCTACTTGGGACCACTCTGCCCATGAATGCTCATCGTCAGCACTAGACAAACCTACTCTGCCCAACATAAAACAAAAATGAAGCAAAATCGACCTAATCTGTCCTGGTCTCTTATTGAGTTTATCAGCTTGAACTTGACATTTAAGGATTCTTTGAAAGTTGAAAAAAGAACCCCTCAGTTGTACCGTTGGTGGCGCCACCATTTGTTTTCGATATTCTTAAATACAGTGTAGGTATTTGGAGGTACATTGTTGGTGATTGATAATGTGCTTAACATACATTTATGATTAATTGCATATACTGTACTTCCCTTTACAATGCTACCCTTTGTACGTTTGCAAACATGGCATTTTGATCTAGCTGGCATTATCACCAGTGGTATTATAACCCGGATGTACTGTAGATAAGCCGCCATTGTGCTAACGCGTCGACCCGAAGCCTCCATGGTCACATTCACGTATACTGCTGGTAAGACTGGGGGATGCTCGTAGCTTACAATCAACAACATCCTCATAGGGTCAGTTTGAAGGACAGGCATGGTGAACTGGGGACATATTCTACACAGGATTTCCCCTCAAGCACCAGCCTTTGAAAGATTTGCTTCGCGTTCTTGCGGGGTAGGTTAAAGGGTTTACTCCCAAAAGTTAGACGTCCCAAAAGTCATACATCCCAATTGTCAGACAAATCAATTAGGCGTGACTGCGATTTCAACTTAGTCTTACCCACTGATATAATGAACCTGTCCCATACACTAACGAGATGGTTTTCACATTTGTACAGAAGTACTTTGATCAGAATACTAATGTTGACTGGCTTACTCAGTCACTGGGTTCTCCAAATGTGTTTTCACAATGTTCAATTGTCATTATCCATAATCTCTTCCCTTTGTGTTTGGATTAGTACATTTGGACTAGTGTAACAGTGCAGTGAACCTCAGTGCAACCAACCATAACCTTGGTTGTTTTAACGCGTCTAACTTTAGGGACGTCTTACTTTTGGGAGGACACCGGTTAAAGCTTAATACTTTTAAAAGTTTATGTAATATTACGAGTGGGTGTCTCTAATGCCGCAGTCAACAATATTCCAGCTATATTGTGGCTATTTACAACCTACTGAGATGCAACAGGGAATGGGATGTTGTATTCCAGACTAGGTTGGTTGGTCGGTTTGTTGTTTAACGCCGCACTCAGCAATATTAAAGCTATATGGCGGCGGTCTACGCAACTGGGATACAATGACATGTGTCAACCAAGTCAGCAAGCCTGACCACCCGATCCTGTGGTTCGCCTGTTACTGCAAGCATTCGTTGCTGAAGACTAATTATGACCCGGATATTCACGGGTCCCCCCAGCTAGGAGTTAGTATATTGTATGATATATGTTCAGTTGGATAACAGGATGTTAACAATCCACCGCCTAGGAATGTTTACTGAGTAGAAACTCAAACGAACTTCTGTCCTTTCTTCATTGATGTTCAGACTTTTATCAAATTTAAAATAAACAAAATATGTAACATTTATTATCATTATTATTACATTGCAAGTTGAAGACAAACATTTACATGTATGTATTTGTTTCTTTGGGTAGCATTTTAGAAGTGAAGTGCAATGGTAGCTTTTTATGGATAACAATTTCTTTTATTTGGTATGCGCGACGTTTCGACAGAGATTTATGTACCCTTGTCAAGCAGACATGTAACTCGAGAGAGAGGATGTATATACTTAGAACAAACCGAAATATGAGTCTCATTAACCTATTCAGACAATGACCTACTTTTCAGCCTATCCGAATTTTCTCGTGTGAAAGTGAAAAGACACACCACAAGCAACTATGGTTACACTGAATTCCAATTCCTTGTTTCATAAGAAAATGGTATTTACAAGTAATTTTTAATGTTAAACTTTAATAACATCGTATTTCTATATTTTATGTCGAGGTTTAGGCAGCATGACCTTAACTAAGACGTCACAGACTGCCCCTGTTTGATGAGGTCGTAAAATGATTCACAATTCACAACTCACTGGTTACACCTGTTATGTGTTTTTTTTGCGCTTATTCAATGCGGTTTTGTAATGCACAATGTGATTGATATAATATCAAGTCCGTACCAGACCGCCAAACTTTTCTAGCGGCAGAGCCTCGTTTTGAGATTTCCACGATTTCCGTTTATCAGTGCACGCTGTACGACAGAGCACGCTGCACGACGTGTTTGCAAGGATTAGAAGGAGCCTAGTGTTGCAATATACTAGTGCTCAGATGTATCAAATAATGGTGATTAATATTTATGTATCCAGTTGAATGAATTGGTCTCAAAATTATGGACTGGTTATTGCACGAAGTTGCGTAATAAGAATAAACCCAGTCAGCAGGAAACGAGACTGTTGTGTAATCAATGTATTGACTTGATAACAAATATAGGCGAGATTTTTGTCGGATGTAACCTTTTCATTTGAGGATATGAATCTTACCTGATAAAAGAGTAAGAATATACTCTGATACGTCATGTTCTTCAAATACACAAATTGACATCCAAACAAATCTGGCCTTTGTGTGTACCACATCTAAATGCCGCTTAAAGACTCAATAATTAAAATAATTAACTAGAAAATGTGTATACTGAAGCCAGAGAAATGTGAAAGGGATTAGAAGTGGATTCCAGAGATGTACCAAATCAAGAGGACAGATAGAAAAGAGACGTTTGAGAAGTGCGCCATACTGAGAAGTAATATCCTTGATATCGGTTGATGGGCTTTTGACCTCAGATATGAATAGCTGTGTCGCACCTACGAAATCTACTGGACAAAAATAGTTAGGGATATATGTACATTTTGAAATTATGAATAATGATCTATTTATTCATTGACACACTGATAAAATATAAATCATAAAAATACCAATATCCCTAACTTATTTTGTCCAGTATATAAGAAGTTATTGTCCATAAATTTTGTAGTGACTGATGTGCTACATATACACAGCGTTCTGGGGGGATCTACAGAGTACCATAACCCTGCATGTGAGGCTTTCCGATATATTCTGGCCCAGGGGAGCTGGGGAATCTTCTGGTGTCTTTTTCTTGTGTATAAGGGGAGCTAACTATTCCCTATCATCTCACATTACATTATGCCTACTTATTTTTGTGATAGTTCAACTTTAATTGATGTGTTGGGCGCAATAGACCCTACTTCCGGTCCCAGTCGCCCTAAACCTATACCACCACCACCTCACATTACATCTCAAGTCACAAGTATATAAGTATTATTAGTACATATTCAGGCTAGGCCTATTTTGGAAACTTGTTGAAGTGAGGTGAATATTACCACCTCTTGTCTTTTAATGGCTAAAATCACTGCTACTGTCTTTGAATTTGTATTGCCACTGTAATACCTTCGTATTAAATTGTACACATAGTTAATTTTATAGAATACAATTTTTAATTACGACCAATCACTTTGTTGTTTGTTGGTTTGACACCCAGTCCTCCTAAGGACTAATTCCCGGTTAACTTCCAGTTTCAACTTGGGAATCAACACGTTGGTTTGGTTTGCTGTTTAACGCTGCATCCAGCAATATTCCAGCAATATGGCGGCGGTCTAGATATAATCGAGTCTGGATCAGACTATCCAGTGATCAACAGCATGAGCATCTAACTACGAAATTGGGATACGATGACACGTGCCTGACCAACCGATCCCGTTAGTCGCTAACTTATTTACACCCATTTCGCAATTCATACACCTTTTCATTCATGTGTCCTTTTGATGTTATTCTTTATGCATTGGGGGGCTGTTGCATTTAATTAATGCAATTTGAGATGAGTGTTTTTGTTGGTACAGCACAAATTTGTTTATTGCTGCAGAAGTCAAGTACATTGGAGCCTTTCTCGCGTTTATTTTGTGTTGACTGTCTGGATAGTGTGAGGAAGGTAGCCGTTCAGATTGACGAGGTTTCGATCTACGCACGGTCTCCTTGTGACCAGATATTGGCACAGTTTTCTGGTACCGTATCATTCTTTTTAATCATATGTTTAGTCATATGTAGCAACGTTTATTTATTTATTTATTTATTTTCAAAATTGTATTGAAACTAATATATTTATATAGCCAAAATACTCCCGAGAGATGTTATTTCCGATATGCAAGACAAAATCATTTTTGGGAAGTTGGTCTGCAAGAAGTGATTTTTTCTGGGCTTCTATTTACTTGAATTCCCCGGCCGCGTCATACCAAAAGACGTTAAAATATGGTACTTGTTGGTCCCTGCCTGGCGCTCGGCATTAATGGGTACAACAAGGACTGGTATAATGGTATACAAGTTAGTATAATGTGTCTGAGTGGGGTATTCGTGCTTCACTGCGGCATGGTATCTCAGTGGGCTAGCACTATAAAACCAGCTTCAGTCTGGGCTAGTACAAGCAGCCGCACATACACATACACGCGCATGCACGTCGTCATATGAGCGAAATATTCCCAAGCACGACGTTAAACCCAATTTCACCTCACCTCACCTCTATTTACTTGAAAGAGCGCTCATCAAATTAGGAGCAGCATAGACACCGATTTTACGTACGCTTCTAAAGGTAAAATGTCTTTTTGCCGAGGTGTTTATATCGCGTAAATTGGACAATCACGTACATATCGTAAAACCAGGCATTGAACATTCGAACACATGTTAAACACTTCCAACTCTTTCAAACAAAAATGTTTGCGCACAGATGTTATCAACCATTTTATGGCATTATTTCCACTTCCGTCTGCTATACGCATGCGCGTTCAAACATCAACAAAGTCACATTTTGCCAGTTGACGTGGCTGGAACAAATATTGAAAAGAATCTGGTGAGTTTTAGGAGGCAGGGTGGTCATATTTGTCTGACAGTTTCATTGTTACAAGTTCTGCATGTTAATGTTCGTGAAACACAACAGGGAAGTTCAATAATTACCTGCAAGTGCTCGTCCACATATCTAAAAATAGAAATTAGTTTGTTGTGTATGTCCAGCGTTCGCAATACCCATGATGTCACCGTGCCAAACGCAACTGCAGATTTAGTCTTTCCTTTTCGCTGGCTGAAAGGAAGTATCGTAGTGAAACACCCCTGAAATTCTGCTGCTTATAGTTTTTGGTGATGACAGTGTTGTGGTTGTAATGACTTATGTGTCGTTGTTGTGTACGATAGGACTGTGTATCATCAGAGTCAGAGACCAGAGGTCCACATAATAGATTATATGGTCTCTGGTATCCAATACCCCTAAAACTAGTGATTGTGTCGTGGGGCTTACATTACTGCATTGTGGTATAGTTTCATCAGTGGACTATGATCTAAAGGATGATAATACTGATATGCTAAATGGTTTTGTATCCAAATAAGACTACACATGACAGCAACATTAATGCCTCCATTTACATGTTAACAGCTTTCAGTTCATGACAGCTTTGTTGAAATTATTAATATCATTTAGGTTTATGCTTCTCTGCTGCTTGACAGTGGTACATAAATCTGTAATGAAATGTCATACAATATAAAAGAAGTTGTTTTCTAAGATGCTTCGGTGAAAGATCAAAGTCGTTGACATTACTTTATCAGACGATAATGTGCACTTTTTGCATTACATCACAATGTATTGGAGTCACTGCGCCATTCTAGTCTGCCCCCTCGAAATCGAACACTTTTGCATTACGTCACAATGTAACCGACGTCACGATGTATGTCAGTTGTCATCGCCTCGTACAGCCTCATACAGTAACCTACCCCGTTGCATCCCGTTTCTTGGTTTGCAGTTGCTTCACTCAGCTAATATCACTAGTGGAAACATTACGTTTATGTTTTCCGATGGATAAAATGTCTCAGTTTGACCCACAATTTTACAGCGACACGGTAACGTTCGCAATGTTTACATTCCCACAATGCAATCGTGGAATGTCGCATGACTGGTCAGCTTCATTTGGATGTAGTGATCTAAACATATGTTGGTAGTACAAATGCGACGTTCATATTGCCCCATATGGTTTACGTTAAGCACAGATCTGGTTAAAATAACTTAGAGAAGATATTTAACCCGAACGTAAACCTTCATCAAACTGTTTATCATTTGGTTTTCTGGTAACGTTCGTCTTAACGTAGGGTGGCAGACAAGTCAATAGAACAGTGCGTCAGTTAGCCCTGTGCAGGGTTCTTAATTGAGGTCACCGACACTGTCGTTTGTTTTCTGCCTTAGATTAATCGTAATTTTCCTTAGAAGGTCTTAAATTTGGCATCTTAGGAAAGAAATACAGTTCGCTCTACCATCATGTATAGTGTAATAAAGCACACTTTCGCCCTGAACTATTATAACGTTAAAGCACTCGGACGCAAGCATATGATGATGTTACATCACTGCCGGGCATGGTTACAATGGTGCAGATGACACCTCAGACATCCCCTGTTTTGGTGTGATGTTTACAGATGAGTCTTGTTTGCACCTGTCCTCATCAGATATGCGCCAACAGGTGTATCGACATGCAAATGAACGCTACGCAGAGGCATGTGTAATGGAGAGAAATTGCTATGTGGCAGATCTGTTATGGTATGGGGAGGCATCACTGCTCGTAACAGAACGCAATTGGTGATTGTGAACGGCAATTTGAATGCTATGCGGTACCGTGAATGAGATTGTCGCACCCGTTGTCATTCCCTTTGTTCAACGTCATGGCCCTGGGATCGTTTTTCAGCAAGACAACTCACATACAGCCCGTGTTGTCCAACCATTTCTCCAACAACAACAACTTAATGTGTTTCCCTGGCCTGCAGTATCACCAGATCTTTCGCCAATTGAGCATGTTTGGGATGACATTGATCGCCACCTTCGATGTCTGCCAAATCCCCTGTAAAGCTTCATGTTCTCCAAGTAGCGCTTGTCCACATATGGAATAACATTCCCCAGGTCTTTCACGCTCGACTAATCTCATCCATGAGGCATCGTTGTACAGCTGTGGTTCAGGCCAACACGTTATTGAAGTTGTGACTTTCTGTTTTTACCCTTTCAACTTGTGGACGTACCCTATGGTACAATAAAAACATTTCACATCGTTCATGTGTGCAGACAAATGCATTTTGTTTTATGCAATACCATTGCCTTTCGATGAATGTGTTTGCCATTTATCAATGCAATGCACAGTTTCTTTTGGGGTTATATATATGGTCTCTGGTGTAAAGAACATTATGATGTTATTGTTATTATTTTCATATCCCAGTTTAAATACTGTAATAATCGAAGTCTGGACACAGACTTTCCATTGATCAACAAATGTTTTCTTTTTTGTAATTCAAACCGAAAACGTCAAAACTGTAATGCCATAAAACTGACCAAAATCCGTTAATCCCTGACTAAGCAACCATAATTTTTTAGATGCAAGCACATGGGTTATGAAGACCATTCTACATGTATCTTTAACGGACTCCATCTAGAAAAAAGGATTGAAAGAACATTATGACGCTTTTGTTATTATTTTCATGGTTTAAATTACAATCTACACAGACTTTCATTCACAACAAATGTTTTCTTTTGTAATTCAATGACAAAACGTCAAAACTGTAATACTATAAGTTGTATAAAAACGAAAATAGAATCCCTGACTATGCAACCTAAGTTTGAGATGGCTGTTATCAGAACCATAACATATATGTTTAGGTACTTACCATGTAGAAAATAGGATAGACATGTACGATTAGTGGCACTTACTGTCAAACACTTCAGCTCCCAATATATCGCAATATACATATCATAATATATTGCAATACAATATATTTGCCAATAGACAGCCCTAGAGAGCATAAATTAGGGCTATAGCATTACAGTTAGAAATATGGTTGAGGAACTGTGTGAATGAATATATGGTGTGCATGCATGATTTATTTTTATTGTAAGAGGCAACAGACACAATGACATGTTGCATGGTGATTTTTTTATATTCATGTCATTTGAGTTTGAAGGTGGTGGGTTAGTGGTGTGTAATGTTAGTGTGGTTTATGTACAACACGTTACTGATATGTGGAATCTGTGTTTGAGTCTTGGCATGACAGTGTCTTTATTTGATATATTCAGGTTGTGTTAGTGAGGCGCCATGTCTGACACGGATGATGAGGCAGCATTCGCTAGTGCTGATGAAGGGGATCAGGCTGAGAAGGGGGGTAAAGCAGAGACGAAGGGTGGCGATGCCGCAGCAGCTTCTGTCCCTCCAGAACCACCAAAGAAAGATTCCACGAGGAATCAAAAGAAAAAGGGAAAAAAGGGTGGAAAGAAAAATGCCAACAATGACTCCCAAAAGGATCCTGGAAGACAAGAGTCAGGCTCAAAGAAATCCTCTAATGTGAAGGCTGAGCAGAAGAGTGATAAAGCACAGACTGGTATTACAGGAACCGAGAAGAGTGATAAAGCACAAACTGGTAAAACAGGAACCGAGAAAAGTGGTAAAGCACAAACTGGTAAAACAGGAACCGAGAAGAGTGATAAAGCACAAACTGGTAAAACAGGCACTGAGAACAGTGGTAAACCACAAACTGGTAATACAGACACTGAGAACAGTAGTAAGGCTCAGTCTGGGAAAACGGAAACAGGAAAAGAGAAATCAAATGTTGAAGAACTGGAGCGTGTGAAACCTGAAACAAAGGATCTTGAATCTAAGTCCAGTGGAGGTGATAACGGAGATGGAAGGGGAAGTTCAAACCCAGCTGCAGCTGAAGGGGAGACAACTGTTGCTAAATCTGTCGAGGAGTCTGTTCCTCAGGAAGGCAGGACTAGCGGTACACCTGAGAAAACACCTGCCCCACCACCTCAGGTCGCATCCCCTAACCCTCAGAGCATCCCCCGTGCTCAGGCAAATGCAGGGAATAAAGAGGACGTAGCCGAGGTGCAAGAAGAGAAGCAGGTTTGTGTGACTGTTTTCAGTTGTCTTTCTCACTGACCCAAGAAAAACATATTGAGTCATTAATTTCCTGGGTCACCAAACTGCCTATTTTTATGAAATTAGATGAGTTGTTTTAACATGTATTTATTTCTCATTGATTTGCCAAAGTATCAAAGCATCATGGTGATCACTGTACCGTGAAAAGTAACATACATTTTGTAATGATTATTAGGAAGTTTTGACAAAGCAGACATAAATTGAAAAGCGCTTTCTGAAAAATAGGTCAAGTTCACACTTGTTTTTATCTAATTTTGGCCCCTGACTTAATAGTATCAAGTTGCCAGCTTTGTTTTTCTGAGTAACCAAGTGTCGAATGCTTGAAAAAGCAAAATGTTCCTAATTTTGAGATGTATGATCTACCGGTATACACCAGCGCCTTCAAATCAATCTGAAACTGAGATGTAGGCAAATATACATGTGGTGAATACATAATATAGTGGTGAATCATGTAACATGTTTAAATAAGTATCACAATTTATGAGACATGAGATTGTTGCTATGGTTACAGGAGTCTGGAAGCTGGGGCTGGGGAGGTTGGGGATCATCATTGCTGACAGCAGCATCATCATCAGTGTCCACCTTCACAAGTCAAGTTGGTGAGTTGCTGTTGCGATAGTGACATGATACTGTGATGTCATTGTGGTGTGATGCAGTGTCATAGTGATGTCATAGTAGTGTGATGCAGTGACATAGTGATATGATAGTGGTGTGATGCAGTGTCAGAGTGATGTCATAGTAGTGTGATGCAGTGACATAGTGATGTCATAGTAGTGTGATGCAGTGACATAGTGATGTCATAATAGTGTGATGCAGTGTCATAGTGATGTGATGGTGGTGTGATGAAGTGACAGTGATGTGATAGTGGTGTGATGCAGTGATATAGTGATGTCATAGTAGTGTGATGCAGTGACATAGTGATGTCATAGTAGTGTGATGCAGTGACAGTGATGTCATAGTAGTGTGATGCAGTGTCATAGTGATGTCATAGTAGTGTGATGCAGTGACATTGTGATGTCATAGTGTGATGCAGTGTCATAGTGATGTGATAGTGGTGTGATGCAGTGACATAGTGATGTGATAGTGGTGTGATGCAGTGACATAGTGATGTCATAATAGTGTGATGCAGTGACATAGTGATGTCATAGTAGTGTGATGCAGTGTCATAGTGATGTCATAGTAGTAGTGTCATTGTGACATAGTGATGTCATAGTAGTGTGTCACCCTCCCAGTGTCATAGTGATGTCATAATAGTGTGATGCAGTGTCATAGTGATGTCATAGTAGTGTGATGCAGTGTCATAGTAGTGTGATGCAGTGACATAGTGATGTGTGTGATGCAGTGTCATAGTGATGTGATAGTGGTGTGATGCAGTGTCATAGTGATGTGATAGTAGTGTGATGCAGTGACATAGTGATGTGATAGTGGTGTGATGCAGTGACATAGTGATGTCATAGTAGTTTGATGCAGTGACATAGTGATGTCATAGTGGCATGATAGTACCGTCTAATCTTACCTTCATGTAAAATACCTAAATTTCATTGGTCAATGACGCTTTCACAAGTTTCCATCAATAGGCAGACGTCATTTTGTTTACATGTCATATAGTCAACAATATTCAATATAAAATAAAATGATATTTTGAACATTTAACATGGCGGTAAGATAAATACGTCATCCCTCGCCTACCTGCTCAGGTAACACTGCTACAAAGAGACGTACATCAGACCATATTACCCTAGAGAGAAGCATACAACTTATAATAGTGGTGTGATACAGTGTCATAGTGATGTCATAGTGCCGTGATACAGTGTTATAGTGATGACAGTGCTGTGATACAGTGTTATAGTGAAGTCATAGTGCTGTGATACAGTGTTACAGTGAAGTCATAGTGCTGTGATACAGTGTTATAGTGATGTCATAGTGCTGTGATACAGTCATAGTGCTGTGATACAGTGTCATAGTGCTGTGATACAGTGTCATAGTGCTGTGATGCAGTGTCATAGTGCTGTGATGCAGTGTCATAGTGCTGTGATGCAGTGTCATAGTGCTGTGATGCAGTGTTATAGTGATGTCATAGTGCTGCGATACAGTGTCATAGTGATGTGGATAGTGTCATAGTGATGCAGTGTTGTGCTGTGATGTCATAGTGCTGTGATGCAGTGTCATAGTGCTGTGATGCAGTGTCATAGTGCTGTGATGCAGTGTCATAGTGCTGTGATGCAGTGTCATAGTGCTGTGATGCAGTGTCATAGTGGTGTGATGCAGTGTCATAGTGGTGCGATACAGTGTCATAGTGGTGGGATACAGTGTCATAGTGGTGGGATACAGTGTCATAGTGGTGCGATGCAGTGTCATAGTGGTGCGATACATTGTCATAGTGGTGCGATACAGTGTCATAGTGGTGCGATACAGTGTCATAGTGGTGCGATACAGTGTCATAGTGGTGCGATGCAGTGTCATAGTGGTGCGATGCAGTGTCATAGTGGTGTGATACATTGTCATAGTGATGTGATAGTGGTGTGATACAGTGTCATAGTGATGTATATTAATGGTGGGGATCGTGCATGAGGAGGACAAAAACATACAGTCTCACCGTTAAGGTCTAGAGTGTTATACTCCACACAGGATACACATTTTAAACATTAAAAAGCATTTGCCATGATGTCTTTTTGTTTCTATGTCAGGAGAAGACACCTAGTTCTCCGTTCTTGTTTCAACAAAGAGTTTTTAACAAACACGAAACTACTCGGATGGCCATGGTAATAATCTGTTTATGTTGCTATAGATACTGTGCAGTACCCAGTACCCAATGCTTGTAAGTGTTGCAAATGGCTTGGAGGGGTGCTGATCGCTTGGATCGTTGTTTATGCTATCGAACAGCAGTTTGCCTGGCATGGACATGTTTTCATTGTTTTTAAACATTGTATTGTTCAGTTTCAAAGGTGAAGCCCGTACAACATACTGAGCATGTTGAAGGCAACACAATTTTTCGTAACTTTGAATAATATGCTACTCGGTGCTGATCTAGATTTGGTTATTTACAAGCCAACATACAAGATACTGGTTGACTGGCTGTGTGTTTGATTGTGTGTCCAGGTGAAGGCTTCCACACCATCGTGGAGTCTGTGGAGTCTTCTCTGGGTGCACCACCACCAGAGGAGATCGCCAGGCTTGAGGAAGAGGGGAAGTCACAGGCCAGAGAAGAAGGTATGTCCTCAGTCTCATGATGTAATATCACACACAGCTTAGGGAGAGCACTACTTGCCAGTGTTAAGTATCCAGTGATTCACTAGTGAATTAGGGGGTAAAATCATAATGATGATTGATTCATCCCACCTGAACGATTATTAGAATTAATCAGTTAGTTGCACAATCAATATATTTATCCATCACAACATAGATTATCTGTACATCTCTAGTTTCAGTACACTCTTGACCCAGACCAAGGTAAAATTACCAATGTGACTTGATTGTACTGCAGTCTTTTTGAGGTAAAGTTGAAAGTCGATTACTCATTGCAAACTTATAAGAGAAACTTGTATTCCATAAAAAGGGATATATCTGGTAGGCATAGGGTCTAAGTGCATATTACATTATCCATTATTCCCCATCATTTCTGCAGATGCTACAGATACATAGGTAAACATGTATATAATATGTTTGATCTTCAGGATGATCGTCTGGAGGAAATAAAGACGGGGATATTATATGATTATCATACAGGCGGTCATGGTATATGGTTTTACTGTCAGGTAAACAGGTCACAGGAAACTTCAGTATCGGCTGTGTTTTCAGATGGAGATGCAGATGAGAAGGGGGCCAAGCAATCTGGTGATGGTGAAGTCCAGTCATCGGGAGGCAGTGGCAGTAGTCCACCAGCTGTTGTTACTGAGCCCAAACCAATGGTGAATGATGGAGAACAACCAGCAAGGGTGGACAGCGGTCAGCCTGAGGAGGAGGAGGAGAAAGGGGGTGGAGGGGGATGGTTCTCCAGTTTTGGAGTTGCAAGCCTCACCAGCAAGATTCAAAACACAGTGAGTGATCAGTCCTGTTGTAGATTTGATACTTTATAGCTAAAGTCAGTCTCACGTTAATGATACCCATGAAGATCCAGGTTAGAATATTGATCTTCAGTACCTCATGCTTGTCGTAAGAGGTGACTGATGGGATCAGGTGGTCAGGCTCGCTGACTTGGTTGACACATATCATCGGTTCCCAATTGCGTAGATCAATGTTCATGCTGTTGATCACTGGATTGTCTGGTCCAGACTCGATTATTTACAGACCGCCGCCATATAGCTGGAATATTGCTGAGTGTAGCGTGTTCAATGTCTGTTATTGATATATCCACTGAAGGTTTGGGTGTATGTGCCTCCTTCCCATCCTCTTCACCTAAAGGAGGGAAGTTTGTAGTGTTGGGAATTGGTTGAAATCTCACAATTGATGATTGGTTCAATACCAACGACCAATCATCGAAAAAAATTGGTTAGCGTCATTTTTTAGATTTTCCTATTCAGCTTGTAGTTGCAGATATGTATAAAGAATAAACATTTGGTTCTCCGTTGTTGTTTTTGTTTTATTTAGAAACTGCACACATTACATTTGCAAATTTCATATCCAGTGTAAAATGATTCAGTTCCAGTGTAACATAAACTTCCCAGATTCTTCAAAAATATTCGGGCGTCCCAGATTCTTCAAAAAATATTTCTGGTGTCCCCCCACCGCGGATATTGCAGTCATGACTTTCAAAAATATTCAGTCATGACTTTTCAGAAAGTGAAGGGAGTTTTCTAAGAATAAAACACGTTTTCCAGCCCTGACAACGTCCTAGATATGTTCCATCATCAAGTGTTTCAAACTCTATTACAGCGGTTCCAAAATCGTTTGTGTTCGATTATGAGAAAATGTGATCGATTGCTTGGTCGTTTGGCCACTGCGACCAATCTTCGATTATTTCAATTAATCGGAACACCACTAGAAGTTTGCAGGGCGGGTTTTGAACACTATGACAAGTTATATGTTATTAACATGTCTTATGGCAGAAATATGTATGACCACCTCCCACGGGTCACCGCCTGAAATGCCTCCCTTCAGGCCGCACATCACGTAACTGAGGAACACTCTCTTCAAAGAGTTGAAAACCCCTACGGGTTTGGCTAAGTTTGTATGAAAGCACTTTACCCACTGATTCACAGAAATTGTTATCCATTCCAGTATGTAACTGAAGTGTTTACTTCCAGGGCAAGTCTCTGGTGTCAGGCTCCCTAGATGCAGTGGAGGCTCTTGCTACTGGTGGCATTGACGTCTTGGAGAATATTGGCAAGAAGACCATCAATGTGTTGTCAGACCATGACCCTGGTTTCAAGAAGACAAAGCAGGTGATGTTTGATGGCAGCAAGAAGCAGAATCTGTCGTCGATGTTGCGAGAAGCAAAGGAGCGGGCAGAGCAGCAGGCGATACATGAGGAGGAACAGGAAGAAGCTCGGAAGCACAACTACGGAGCACTGTTTGAGGACTTCCAGGGTGAGGAGAAGGGTTATTGTGCTAAATGAGGCTGTCAGCAGTATTCTAGTGATTGAAGAAGTGACATTAAAACTCACCCCCAATGTGCTGTAAAACAAATCTAGTTGCAAAGTGAGCACATCTTTTCTATATTTACAACAGACATGTCACTGCAGGTTCATCCATTACAAAGAACTATATACAGTATGATGACTTTATGGCTTTTCACCAGATGACTGGCGAGTCATAATGCTAGATTCTGTAACGAGTGATAACAATTGTTCTGTATCATCCTTGTTACAGGCATGGCCCACCTGGAGGCGCGGAGATCCTGTCCAACCAGAGCGAGAAGAAGGTGCAGGCCCTCCTGTCATCTCTGCCAGACGACACCATCCGGCAGCTGAAACCACAGCTCATTGACATCAAGAACATCTTCGAGCTGGATGACACTGACTACGGTATGGATCTGAACCAGCAATTCACTGGCCATTCTAAACATGAGTTCTTTGAGAGGCATTTTAGAAATTGTGAAGATGAAGGAAAACTAAATTCTAAGATTTTGACTATCCATAGAACTTAGTTTTCCTTCATTCTAAACATACATTTAAACAAGTGTAGCTAACACATTTATGGTCCATAATATGTCGTTCTGCAAAATTATAGGAAATTATATATAATATCAGCAATAACTTGGTTATGTCTGAGAAATTACAACTCTCGTTATTTTTGTATTAGAGAATGTACAGAAGTTAAGTATGCTTTCAAAGGACATAAGGAGGTTCAGTGACATTAGTTATTATTTGTATTACAATGTCATGGCATTCCATAGTAATGTGTTGAAGTCTCACAGATGAGAGAATCATCTAGATATTTTCTGTAGAAAATTAGTACAGTATTTGACAGTGTTGATAACTTGATACTTCCAACTTCTACCTGCTCTCCACCAAGGAAGACCAAGTAACTTTTGTGGCCTGACAGATCGGTCCTCTTCCCCCATTCAGAGTAGCCTTTGCTGACACCATCACTATGTTATCTAATGGAGAAATTATTAGATTCTGTTTCTGATTAAGCTATCATGTTTCAACTGCCCTTGACTTTAACAATATCTCATAAGAATTAAATCGTATACTACACTAAGTTGTCTGTCTGCAATACAATCTGATAATCAGCCAATCGTATACTACACTAAGTTGTCTGTCTGCAATACAATCTGATAATCAGCCAATCGTATACTACACTAAGTTGTCTGTCTGCAATACAATCTGATAATCAGCCAGTCGTATACTACACTAAGTTGTCTGTCTGCAATACAATCTGATAATCAGCCAATCGTATACTACACTAAGTTGTCTGTCTGCAATACAATCTGATAATCAGCCAATCTTATACTGCACTAAGTTGTCTGTCTGCAATACAATCTGATAATCAGCCAATCGTATACTACACTAAGTTGTCTGTCTGCAATACAATCTGATAATCAGCCAATTGTATACTGCACTAAGTTGTCTGTCTGCAATACAATCTGATAATCAGCCAATCAGATACTACACTAAGTTGTCTGTCTGCAATACAATCTGATAATCAGCCAATCGTATACTGCACTAAGTTGTCTGTCTGCAATACAATCTGATAATCAGCCAATCGTACCACACTAAGTTGTCTGTCTGCAATACAATCTGATAATCAGCCAATCGTATACTGCACTAAGTTGTCTGTTTGCAATACAATCGTATACTACACTAAGTTGTCTGTCTGCAATACAATCTGATAATCAGCCAGAGAAAATCAATTGAACTTCCCAATCTACAAGAAGGGTGCTTGGATTCTTTCAGTACTTTGATCTGACCATTCTAAAGTGATATCTCCTCATTCCTTTACTGGTACAATGTGTGAAGCCCATTTCTGGTGTCCCCCGCCGTGATATTGCTGTGATATTGCTAAAAGCAGCGTAAAACCATACTCACTCACTCATTCCTTTACCACCTCAATTCAGAATTTGATCCCTAAAACATCCCAAACAGTGGAGGACATTTTGTAAGTCACTATAGGATTGCATTTTATGTGTTGACAAGCGGCAGATGGACGACCAATCACATATTTATGTTGACAGAGGAACGTCAGGAACATGAGTTCTTCAAGCTGATCACCGACCACCTGTCTGAACTACACCTGGGCACAACACCAGATAAACTCAATAAGGTGCACAATTTTATGTTGCATTTGGCTGAAATTCAGGTTTAATGATTTAAGCATATCGATATATTCTTAAAGGTCACATGCAACGTAAAACACAACTTTGCAGATTCTGATACCTTTTGGTATGGACTTACCGAAACAAATCGTCAAAAATGCAAATTCAACTTATAAAGTTGAAAAATAACGCGATGAAAAAAACCGTGCAAAATCGGAGTTCGATTCACTAATTTTCCCCCGACTTTTCGGGAGAAAACTGGTTTCAACAGCTGGGCTGCGCCCATAGCACGTCGCGCAGTGAAATAGGTTCACGCAGCTTGGGCCGGGTTGTCCGGTGAATACCGGTGAAGGCTTTGGTGTGAGCTATTTTTCTAATGTTTTGTTGATATCTCACAGGCGAAGCTTTTATATGTTATGACAGTAAATTAACTGTTTATATAATTTCATTTGTCTATTTCACCACACGTTCTTCTTACCAAGTCACTTTCTCAGTTCGATACTTAAAAGCAATGCCATTATTTAGCGTTGACAGAATTTCTAACTGTGATATAGATATGTCGTTGTCACAGACAAAACTCAATGTCTTGTTTTATTGACACCTGTGTGTCTGCCTGCCTGTCTGCTAATGACAATAGTCAATACACAGCTGCTATCACTGACAACATTCAATTTGAACTTAACACCAATCAGGCTATACACCATAAACAAAATGCATTGATTTATGGCCTGAGTTCGGTCTCTGTCACATTATGTAATTACACAGACAGGCAGGTGTGATACTTGAACACATGACATGTTATGATGTCTTTTGATTGCAAAATGTTATACACAAAAAATGAGCATGTATTTACAAAACCCAACATCTCTTTATATACAAACACAATGAACCGTGAGGGAATCTGCTAATGAACCAGCCATTACACTTGAGTGCACACCCACCCGCTCTGACTGGGTTCGGTATCCCGGCTGCTTCGTTTCTTGGGAAGTAAACCCAAGTACACAATATTGCACTTTTGATTTGCGATTGTACGCTTATAATTTTGTTTATATGTTTTTTCATAACCAGCAATGTATATTATATGTCATGAATAAGTGATAATTGTGTTTTAATTATGTTTGATTTTTTGGTTGCATGTGACCTTTAAGGATCCATACAAGAGAATTATCTAGATCTACTGTGAGGCTGATATTTATCCTCCCAATCTGCTGAAAAGCAATCCCAGATTGGGAAGCAGCATGCCCCAATTCATGTACTTATGGATCAAGTTACTAATGTGATTACTTTGTAGAAGTGGCTGGTGTTTCACTGTTAACTTGACCTGTAGATAAAGAGGATGTAGAGATTTGATTTAATGCAATGATAAAATATCAGTGAATTTTAGAAAAGAATAACTTAAAATAATCCCAGTTGTGAACAAAATAACAGTTGATTGCCAACTTACCTTACCAAAGGGATTCAGTTTGGGATCCAAGATAAAACCCTGTGCATACATAACAAGCTTCCTGGGATGTGTTTTGAACCTACTTGTCCCTGTGTGCAGGTCCAGGAGAAAATCCGAAAGTGGATCATCGACTTTTACGCTGATCCCCCAGAAGGAGAAGAGAAGAAGATAACAGAACCAAAAGTAAGACCAGTTACCATGGTTACCATTCACACAAATCATATAATCTCCCAGATAATATTAAGTGTGTCTTACAAAGTAGAACCTGCTTACCTGTGGCGAATCATGCTAATGAGATCATAACTGATCATTAGGAGTTTTGACAGATTGCCTGAATTCCCAGGCATTTCTGCAGTTTCCACAACCAGGGTCCTGTTTCACACACCCAAACCTCTGGTCACGTAATCTTATCACTACTATATTAGCATTGTGTGTTTCAGGAGATATTCCACACTGCTATAGAGGCTCTGGCAGAGCTGACAGCCAAGTCTGTTGAGCAGTTCCACAAGGCTGGGGAGCTGATTCTGCTGCAACAAGACACCGACACTCCCTACCAGAACCGCTCCAAGAGTCTTGCCAGGTACGAGTTGTTGGTTACAGTCCCAGTATTCTAACTACTAGTATATGATGTCAGTCTATGTGTCGCGGGTTCTGGTCTTGAGATGTCCCAAGGACAATAATTGATGAGACGGGGAATGTCGCTTAAGATATGCACCAGTTTATTGCCTGTGAAATATGAACATTACAACATGAGAAAGATGATGTATGCGTCCGACATGGTCGGATGGTGACATGAAAGTCGTATATATCTTATATGAATACATCGGCAATAAACAATACAATTATAGATATAAGATTGGTATATAATAGTTATGCTATAATTGTATAATTGATAAAATATATATGACGTCACGCATAAGCGTTTCGTCCGGGATATTTACAATTGATGTGACGCCACGCATTAGCTTATCAGCCAAAATTATATACAACTGATGATTTAGTATACTGTAGATATAAAATCATAATTATTGATCATTCACACACTGTCTTACATGCAATGCTAGTGCTTTAAGTTAGTAAGTGATCCACGCGAGAGAAAGTTTACAATACGCGGTCGCGATTAATTACTAACTTAAGATATATGTTATTACTATGTTGATGACAATAATATATATACTAGCAATGATATAGATGTAGAAAGAATATATGTAGAGAGGGTGCTTACCTGTGAAATATGAACATTACAACATGAGAAAGATGTTGTATGCGTCCGACATGGTCGGATGGTGACATGAAAGTGTCACACGTCACAGGCATGAAACGCATCGAGATTTGGCGGTTAGCCAAATACGGGTGGCACGCATAACTCTCTACATATAGCCAGTGGAGAAGCAGCCCTCTGTTGAAATAAAAGGAAATAGAAGGTTGTCGGCTACATATTCCCCCTTTGGAAAATGGTGTCCTCAACATTTATAGAACAAAGGACATGGTCAACAATGAGAGAGGAAAATGATCAAACAGGGATATTGATGAAAATATCCCCAACTGAATTAGTTGCTTTTAATGACATCGCATGCTTTTGAAAGGAACACCAAATAATGGAAAACAAAACACCTGGTACTCCTATGAAAGTCAGAAGGTTTCAATGATCAGGAAATCATTGAAAGAAACTGACAAACCAACTGAACAAACCAACTAAACTATGTACAAGAACTTCAAACAAAAACTTCTTCCTCTTCCGCTTCGCTACTTAACGACGGCCCCGGAAGTTTGTCACCCACTGATCACTCTGCATCCAGGCTGGACAGGTTCTGAGTCGGGTAGGCCTCCCCGACTCCAGAGCCGCCCATCTGGGCAGGTGATGCAGGCTGAACGCTGATGACAGGAGGGGTTGCATCTTCTGGTTCCACAGCAGTACTTGAGGGCGGCGCTGAAGTCGACCTTTCCGAACGGAAATACTGGCAGGGGATAACTGTATCAGCTGCTGGCTCTGTGGTCTCTGGCTGGCTTCCAGAAGATCCTGAGGGTGGACGAGAAGCATTAGCAGCACTTGGAATCAAATTCGTGGCTCTGGTTTGACTCCTCAGTCTTGGCAGCAGTATGATCTCCTCTTCATCCTGACTGTCTTCTTCGGATCTGTCTGAAGCTTGAAACTCCTTCACCAAGTGATACCCGATTCTTTGCTTCTTCTAGATTGGCGTCGTTCTGTCCTGGGCGGTCTTGTTGGAGGGAAACAGATTCCAGTGGCAGGAGCATGTTAGCGTGGAGAGTCTTCATTGGCCCCTGGCCACTCTCTTGCTTCAAAGTGTAGACGGAATGTCCTCGCTGGGTTGTTTCACAATGACATAGACGTTTTTCCCCACTTGTTGGCAAGCTTGTTCCTTCCTGTAAGTCCGACAAGTCGCACCAGAACACGATCATTTGGTTGTAGAAAGGACTCTCTCACTTTCTTGTCGTAATGTTGTTTGTAGCGTTGTCCTGCCTTCCTAGATTCCTTGGAGGCTATGTTGTACGCAAACTGTAGCCGCTTCTTGAGGTTGTTAGCGTATTGAGTACAGGTAGCTTGTCCTTGTCCAAGGTCGAATCCAAGAAAGGCGTCCACTGGGAGTCGAGGGTGTCGTCCAAACATGAGGTAGAAGGGAGGTACTCTCGTGACTTGTGGCATTGTAGGAATGAACGAGAGCAGGTACATAAGTTTTCCAGTCACTCTTCTTCTCTTCATCCAGGGTACCCATCATGTTCATCAGTCTGGTTGAAACGCTCCGGCCATACCATTACCTTGAGGGTGATATGGCGCCGTTCTTGTCTTCTTTATCCCAGTAAGTTGGCAGAGTTCTCTGATGATGTTGCCCTCGAAGTTCCTCTCTTGGTCACTGTGGAGTTTAGCCGGAATCCATAATGTACTAGAAAATTGTCAAACAGTACTCTCGCTGTGGTCTTGGCTGATTGGTTACGAAGCTGGGATGGCAATAGCATCGCGAAAGTAAAATGATCCGTGATCACAAGGATATTCTCGTAGCCTCCTTTGGATTCTTCAAGCTTGAGATAGTCCAAACAGAAAAGTTCCATGGGCTGTGAAGTGTGGATGCTTATAAGTGATGCCGGCTTTCACAGTGGTTTTGCACTTGCGCCGGACACAATTACCACAGTTCTTAATGTACTTCTCAACATCCTCAGACATTCCAGTCCAGAAAAACCTTGATCTCACAAGATGGAGAGTTCTGTCGCTGGGCCCTGGTGTCCTGAGTTGTCATGGAGAGACTGAAGTATTTCCTGTATCTTGTTCCTTGGTAGAACTAGCTGATGTTCAATACCTTCGATGTTGTTAATTCGCCTGAACAAGATCCCATCCTTGAGAAACAACTTGTCCCTGTCCTGAAGTAATCTTCTCACTGTAGGATCCTCAAGTGACCGCTGACGCTGTGAGCTTAACTCCTTCCTTGATGAGATGGATTACACGCCCAAGATGTTGATCACTGAGTTGTTCCTTCTTCCAGGACAGTGATGTAGGGGTCAATGGAATTATGTCATCTGGGCAAACAACTTTTTCATCACAAGATAAGCTTTCTGCAGCAATGCAGGAGGTGCAATGAACTTGGCAGATGGCCTTGATAGATTGGGGTTCGATATGAGACTCCTTGCTGTCCGAAAGTAGTCTGGCCTTCTTGACAATCCATCGGCATCCATGTTGGTGTTGCCTGCACGATAGGTAATGATGAAGTCGTGATGCTGAGAGAGCAGCGAGCCACCTGTGTCCAGTGGCATCAAGCTTGGCTGATGTCAAGACGTGGGTAAGTAAGAGGGTTGTTATCTGTCTTGACCTCGAACTTGTTTCCATACAGGTACTCATGAAACTTATCCGTAACGCCCATTTGAGTGCTAAAACTCAAGCTTGTGTGCAGGATAGTTCCTCTCGCTTCTTCCTGAGTCCTCTACTTGCATATGCATTACTCTCATCTTGTCATCCTGCTTCTGGTAGAGAACTGCTCCCAGTCCATCAGCACTGGCATCAGTGTGGACCTCAAGGGGAGAGCGTTAATCAGCATACGCTAAGATTGGCGGTGACGTGAGGTGCTGGATCAGGACATCAAAAGCTTTTGTTGCTCATCATTCCACTTCCAGTTAGGATCAGGTTTAGAGCTTCGCCTCTTCTTCTTTGGTTGGTCTGTCAAGAGATCGTTGAGGGTCTTGCAATCCGAGAGAAATCCTTCACAAAACGCGGTAATACCCAGTGAAGCCTAGAAATCTTCTAACGTCATGCACATTGGTTGGTACGGGCCAATTCTTTAGTGCTGATACCTTCTCTGGATCCGCTCTCTATCCCGCTGCAAGATACAACATGCCCAAGGTATGTTACGCTTATCCCTGAATAACTCACACTTGGAAGGCTTTAGCTTGAGGCCGCTTGTCTTTCAGTCGTTGGAATACTGCTTCAAGACGCTCCAAGTGTTCCTCAAATGTAGTTGAGAAGATAATGATGTCATCCAGGTAAATTAGACACTCCTTGAGGTTGAGATCTCCCATACATTTCTCCATTAGACGCTGGAAGGTGGCAGGTGCATTGGTCAGTCCGAACGGGTATTCGATTGCATTCATAAAATCCGAAAGTGGACCGGCTGAAAAGGCAGTCTTGTGCTTGTCTTCTTCTTTTAGTTCCACTTGCCAGTATCCTGAGCATAAGTCCAACTTAGAAAACATGGATGCTCCTGACAGACAATCTAAGGTTTCATCGATCCTGGGGATGGAATAAGCGTCCTTAACCGCCTGTTGGTTAATCCGGTGAAAATCCAGACATAGACGAGAGACTTGTCTTTCTTCCTCACCAGAACTATGTTAGACGAGAAAGGACTACTTAGACTCACCTAATGGCTCCACATGTCAACATCTCATGAAGGTGTTCCCTGACTTCCTCAAACATTCCAGGTGGAATTCGCCGGGTGAGGTTCCTTGAAAGGAGTATCGTCAATGAGGTTGATCTCATGTTGCACAGCTGTGGTGTGTCCCAAATCAATGAGGCTCTTTGACATGATGCAGTTCCATCTTGAAAGCATAGTCAAGGCTTCGGCCCCTCTGTCCATCGGGTGAGACAACTGTCCGAGAGGTCAAAGTCCACTGGTGAGGTATGAGTCTCCTGGATGGTGTTGGTCTTTGTTGGCAGAGCATCGACAGGTACTTCACTGAGCACTCGAACCCTCGTGAAGCTGACAGAGTCTGGTCTTGGCGGGTATACTGATGATCCTGGCTGACATGTTGCAAATGCTAACAGGAACCCTGGAGGAGTTACCTCGCTTACCTATTTCAACGAGTCTTGGGTAAACTGAGAGTCCTGTCCGAAGGTCAGAGTCCAAGTCATGGTGTTCGGTGATAGCTGTGGCTCTTCCAGGCTGATGATGCACAAGTCCAGCGATGGTCATCATCTGGTTTGGTTGAAGGTGGATCGGCGTCTTGTTAGTAGATCTTACTTGTCCAGTGATTCCATTAGCTTGCGAACGTAATGCAGTAAGCCAAGAGGCTGGTATGGTGTTATCTACAGGTACCAAGAATCTCTCCACAAGATCTATGACGTTGGTTCCGATCACT